TATATATATATGTATACCAAAAAAAGGTATTTTTTTGGTACAACACTGACATTCCGGAAACGAGTCAGCCATTGTTAATAGCTACTTTTGATGCAAATATTTATTCGTAGGTTCCATCCTGAGTATATTAAATCGTTGTTTGTAAGTTTTCTCAACATGTATGAAGGTTTATTTTCTCACATTCCTGTTCCAACCTTATAATATCAACTTCTATGATCAGCTTTTGCATTGTAACGAATGTGACACTAATTTGAGCCCGAACTTTTGATTGTATCACAAATAACTAACTAAATTCTAATTCAATAAAAAGCAATATTAAATATACAAGAAGTTAACTGTAGTACAATTTTGTGTAAATCACAAACACTTAGATTGTATAAAGTTTACGTTGTGCCGTTTAACAACCGATAATTATTCATACCTCTCGAGCAGACACCGGAGCGTAACAATTTTAAAACTAAGACCTAAACGAAAATATCACAAAAATAAGTACTAAATTTAAGAAAAAAAGTATCAAAAATCAAGGAGTCTGCTGCGTAAGTATAAAAACCCTGTGTGGTAAACTGAGAAGGCAGTTATCACAGTTTTAAATACGTAAGTAGACTATTAGAGATGGTATCACTAAGTTAACATAGTAAACAACTACGTTTGTATGTAGAAAAATCAAATAGGGCTATGCCAAGGGAAGACTAGGTACCTTCATGTTTGATTTTTCGGCTTACAAACGCTTCTAAGCACATATCAAAACTTCTAAAAGTCGGTTCTCTGATTCTTTGCACATGTATGACATTATTCACGCATTACTTTTTATGTTACCGGAATGCTAATTTCTCCTAATTACTTAAATTCATTGTGGTGTCTTGAAGTTATAATTTTTTCTAAAAAGAGTTGTTATAATTACTAACACATACATCAGCGTTCGATTTCTTGGGGTATGTACATATTTATAAGCCAACAGCGACAAGTGATATTCTAAACTTCAAATTCACATTTCATAATTTGATTTTGGATATCACTGTCAAACGAATTGTTACGCAATATATTTCCTGATAAATATAAACACAATTTTTCGAAACAGTAGAATAGTAGTAGAAACAACCCTCTGTATGTTCCACCAGGACCACCACTAATAAACAACATATTTATTTGGAGCTTCACAACAAAGGAGGGCATTAAAAATATACTAGATAAGTTGAAGGGTAAATTGCGTGTGGACTAGACAAATTATCAGTTGATACTACAAAGAACTCAAGATTGAGATAAACTATTTTAAGTACACTAGTAAATTTACCATTTACCACAGAAAGTCTTCCCAGTGTCGTAAAAATGGAAAAAGTTGTTCCAATATAAAAAGGAGGTGACTGCTCAATGTCTAGTGATTATCGACCTATTTTACTTATAATAATCAAAATATTTTATAGACCTGACAAAGGCTTTCGATCGCAACCAAGTCGAAGATATCTTACACCTACTGTATAAACCATGGACGTATAAACATAGATGGACACAGCAATAAGATACCTTTAACACACAATGTTTTGAAGCTTCCATAGAACGTTATGCTTCCGCAATGAGCATAAGCGTGCTTGAATTTTTACTCGCGGGTAATTATTCAGATTTTAAAAATTGGAAGTAGTAATAATGTATAAAAACACGTTCAAAGAATTAACAAAAAAACGAGAGTTAAACTATTAACAAATCACGTCTTTATAGAAAAATTAAAATACAATTTTATTTAATTTAAAATTAATACAATGAAATATAGTTGAATTCAAGTTAATTTTAATAGGTATCAAAATAATGCTACAATAAAAGATCTTTATGTTTTCTCCTAAATTTGCTACCAAAATAGTTCGATCGTCAATATTATTTGGAAACCTACATGGAAAAATAAATGAGTTTTATTCATTTCACTAATTTATTTGCATCCATGAGAAATATTAAATTAAAAAGGTACTAAACAGATCTTTTTTAATCAGATGATGTCTACTTACAATTTAAAAATGTCTACTAATTTTATCAACTTATATCTTATTCAATACATTAATGAACATGAATAAACCCAATGGTACGCCTATTAAAATGTAAACAAACACGCTTCCTCATTTCCTCATCTTAAATAATGTAAATTGTATGTACTTACAAATGAAATGAGAGATCGGGATGTAAATATTTCGTTTATTTTATTTAACTTTTCACAAATATCACTCAAAATACAGCCAAAATATCGAAAAACAACTTTTACTCAAAAGTAAACAAACATGGAACAGTATTTGAAGTTTGACGTAGATCCATAAGACAGAGAAATGTAAACAACCGTTGCCATTTATAAATAGTTTTCAGTGCTTCTACATATAAAATAATTGATTGATATCTATTATACGCTATTATTAAATGATAATGCACACTATGTGCACACTTTATATTTTGATTACAATTAAATATATTAATCTAACCAATAAATTATTATTTTGGTTTGATAGCACTTGTAGAGTATAAAATACGAAATAATATTTTCAGCGACTCGCGAATAAGAAATTTTAAAACAAAACGTGACAACAGTTGAAGGTGCTGAGAATGTGACCTATTCAAATAATTTTGACTTCACAATTTTATGTAAATAACTGAGTCCATCTGTGTTTATATGTCCATGGTATAAACGAAATATAAAAAACAATATTATACAAACCATCGAAAACATCTACCTCCATAATCGAATACAGGCAAAGATAAATGGAAAACTAACACATTCTATACCAGTACAAAGCGTAGTCAGACAGGGTGACTCGTTAGCCCACTTCTCTTCAATATAATAATGGACGAAATAATAGGTTTGTTCCAACACGCAATTTTTGTACGGTCCGGAAACCGTCACGAAACTACTTGTGCCGTTTTTAATGCGCATGTTCATTATTTGTATCGTCTGATGACGGTAATGTGGAAACTGATGTTGGAACGATTTCCTGACAACTGACATAATTTGGTGACTATCTATCTAAATAATTCTGGGTTTTCACCCTAGATTCGGCTAATAGCTCCAAATCATCCTCACTACTATAATAATCAGAAAAATCACTAATTCCTTCGTCGTCAGTCATATTTATAAAGTTACAAATAACGAAAAACAAATGTATATAATTAAATAACAAGTATAATATCATAAGCACCTGATAAAATCATTAACCTAACTTCTTTTTTTTTGAACAAATTTACAGTTTTAATATAAAATCTAAGTTAATCTAGGCCCAACAAATTTAGGGAAGTAGAATAAAATCGTACTGCGCATGTCATCTCAACCAGTACATGCATTTGCCAGATTACTGAAGTTATCGTCACGAAACCGTCACTGGGCGATCACAATTTTTGTTGGAACGGTCGGAAGGACGATGAGATGAACGATCATATTTTTGTTGGAACGTATTTTGTTTAGTGCGCAGGAGCGTAACCGGTTTGTTGAAACAAACCTAATACAAGCAGTACGTAAAGGTCATGGCTACAGAATGGGGAACAAAGAAATCCAAATATTGTGTTATGCAGACGACGCCGCATTAATCTCTGAGACAGAAGACGAGCTCCAAAGATTAACACATATCTTCAATACAACAGCTAAGAAATACAATATGATAATATCCGCAGAAAAAACCATATGTATGACAACATCTAAATAACCACTACAGTGTAAAATCGAAATTGATGGGAAAATAATAAATCAAGAAGTAAGGTTTAGATATCTGGGAATAGATATAACTAGATACGGAGATGTTGAAGAAGAAGCACGACAACAAAGCTTAAAAGCAAGTAAAGCGGCGGATTCTCTTAATGACACAATCTGGAAGAACAAACACCCAAGACAAGACCTAACAAAAACAAGAATCTATAAAGAAGAGCATGCAATATAGAAGACATAAATGGATGGGTGACAAAACGAAAACAGGAGTGGAACAAACACATTAGTAGAGTGGTAGAGGATAGAATAGTACGAATAGCACGAGATAAGTCACCAAAGTCACTAGACACAAAGACACCAAGGTCACTAATATTGAAGAAGAAACAGGCTTTAAAGCCTACATACTAGAAGGAAGAAGAAGATAATCAAAATATCAAATTCTTATAAAAGGACCAATATGGATTTAGCAGCACAACAACAGCAACACCTGATCTTGTACCAAATATTGCTGATACAGTTGCTCACATGCTGTTATTATCTGTATTGTAAACTTTAAGCATAAGGGGCCTGTATGAGGAAGAACACAACTTAACTTTGGTCGACAGGATGAATATTCAATTGTCCAATATTGAGTGTGGAGTTCCACAAGGGTCGATACTTGGTTCAACACTGTTCCTTACTTATGCGTATTCAATTCCAACATTACCATTAAGAGGTACACTACAAATGTATGCTGATGATACCTGCATTACATACTTGAGCGAAAACCCCAATGTGGCAAAAACTGATGGTCAATTTGACTTGCAGATGGTGAAGGGATGGTTAGATCATTATAAACTTACCTTTAATGCAGATAAATCACGTTATATGGTGATAATAAGAAAAGAAGAGTGGTAACAATTAACGATACACTTGGAACAAGGCATTTATGCAACAAAATTACACCTGGAATAGGGGTTCTTGGAAGAGGAGCAAATTATATAGAAATTAAATATAGGACAATAATATAACAGTTTAATACATAGCCATGTCACCTTTTAACTCTAATTTGGACAAAAGCCACAATTTCGAATAAATTGAATGGCTCATGTACAAAGAACCAAGGACCGATTATATGTAACCTTAAATACAATAACATCAATATTTTTTTGTGTATAGAACATTTAACATTGATAAAATTCTAAATTTCAAAAATACGATTGCATCATTATTCGAAAAACCCAGTTAACTTCAATTAGTATCAGACAAGTGAGTGAAAATCTGGCGGTTTTATGCTTTTGTCGCTTTCTCAAACGAGTTTCTTACACAAGCAAAAGCATGCATTATATTTTCCCTATCATATATGTAGAATTATTCTCATAACATATTATAAAGCGAAAACAAACTACATATCAGGTTTTTCTCTCACTTATCATATGATTAAATGTGACTATTTTCAAGAACTGTAGACTCATCACACTGAAAATTCGGTTCAGTTATTATTCATCTCGTATTTAATGTACCCAACATTTTAATACTTCAAACATTTTAAAGTGATATACTGATACCGAATTCAGGTGATATTTCTACGTATGTACCTTAAAAACCCACAAAAACAATTTTTAGTAGATATTAAGCCACTGTCATTTTAGGTACACTTTCTTACGTCTCTGTTCATTAAAAAAATGATTAAAAGAGACGCGTGACTTAAAGACACTTGGATAAAGGTTTAAGGTAGTAGAGATCTGGGGAACACCTTCATTTTTATAAAGTCATCAATAATTTCCTTAATATTATCAGCTGTAGGTTTGGGTTGTGTCACATCAAAGCCAAGTTGTTTCAGTTTGTTGCCATCTAATCTGAGATGTTTGTGGAGAAGTAGTTCGGAATCCATGTGAGGAGAGAGAGGAGTGTTAAGGATTTCATCTTTTCTACAAGCTTCTGCCCATGGGGCTAAATGTTTGTCGTTGGCATCATCTGCAGCACCTGCTAGGTCTACCACTGCGGATACAAGATTGCCGTAATAGTCGATTTTGACATTGAATATGTCTGTCATAACGTTGGATATTGAACCTTGCGTAGAGTCTGCATCATCCACAACATTATAGATCTACAATTACACATAGTTAGTTTAGACCTTTAATGAATAGAAACTGTTTCTTATTACCTGTCCATTGGTATCTTCTCTATTACTCACGAACCATATTGCTTTACATACATCCTGGACATGTACGGTACTAATTCTAAGTTCAGAGTTCCATAGAAGTTTCATTGTTTCTCCAACATGCTTATATATGGACGCTGCGATTATTCTAGGCATTAAACCGCTTTTGTCTCCTAATCCATAAACAATTGGAAGCCTGAGGATTGTGTAGGTGAGTTCAGACATTTCTGCCAATTTTTTTTCTACCTGGATCAAAAAGTATTGTTACAGGGGTATAGGTTAAAGTATTTATATAATATTAAGAACTGTTCTATATCAAACAGTGGCGTCTCGCGAGTCTCGAAAGAGGTGAAGCTAATCCTGTCTGACCTAACCTTTAGTAAGCTATTTTAAAATTAGACATATCGACTCATGCAACGAAGACTGTAGTACGTCATTTTAGATAGCGTTGAGAAAATTAATTTACAACCATAAGAACTTGTTAGCAGTTTCTAAAATATCCAAAAATAAACTATTGAAAATAAAACTTTTGTAGGTAGTATGTTTATTTAAATGCAGTTCTCAAAATGTATCACCAAAAAATTATATTTTTTCTTAATATGTATATTCTATTTTTTATATGAGTTACTACATTTTTCGTCGAAACAATTTAGGGAAAAAATGACACACGATCAATTTGAAAGAAAAATTTTTATAATTATATCTTCAATTTCACAAAATAGGTTACATTTATTTCTACTCGACGTCATCTTCTTCAGATTCGCTGCTACTAGAACTTTTAGAGTCTTGATGTATATCATTCTTTGTCTGTGTTCCCTCCTTTGACCGTAAAAAAAAGAAGTTATGGTACAAAGGTGGTATTGAAGGTGGATCCCCTCTGCAAAGCTCTAATAAACTTTTCAATTTCTTACTATCAACAAGTAGAGGAGAAGTATAAAGTTTCGTCAACTCAGTGGAATGAGTTTAAAGTTTACTACGCCTACTTTTTTTCAGACATAGAATTCCCGACAATTCCCGCATTTTTTCGCCATTTTTATTAATGTGAACCATTAATTGGGAGTATAGACAGCACCCTCTCTCTTTTTAGCTGGCTCTATTACTGCACACATACTATCTCTTTCATTCTGAGTATGCCCCTTCTCCAAAAACCTGTGTGTTATCATTATGTTGAGAATTTAAGAAACATATGCAAACATGGACAAAATAAAACGGTTTCTATTTTGCCCCCGCAATTGTTGGAGTATAAGATGACACTTTCAACCCCTTTAGTTTTTTGTGTCCTCAGAGAGTCTAAGAAGCAACTACTAATTTCATTTAGTCCCCGTTTCGCCACCTCTTCATACCAAACGTAACAGAATCCTTCATAAAATTGTTACCTAAAAGGTTTCCACATAAATTTTCGATATCATGATAGTCGAAAGGACATTGCTTCTCTGCATAATTAATATTTTTATCCAGCACCTCAATTATAACCTTAATTATGACTGTAACGATGATTATAACGATAGAATCACTTTCTATCTTTCCTGTTCATTTCACGGGTATTGGTAAAGACAGCTCTGTCAAAATTAGAAACAAGAGTTCTGTCTTGTTGTTCTGTTGTCTGAAACAAGAGCCTGTCTCATATACGCCCATATCACAAAAAGTAACAACCAGAACCAACCAAATTGCTCATGCTGTGACCAACGCTGCTAAAATCTCTATGGCAACGACACATGCGCAGAAACCGGCATTAAAGAAAACACAAAATGTCGACAATCTCTCGCAAAATGTAAACAATAGACAAAAATATACATCGACTAAAGGTGCAGGAAGCGAAGACGCTAATTTTGTAGCCGCGAATCGTAGCAAAATGTGGCTTTACATAGGAAAAGCTGAAGAAACAGTCACGAATGACATTATCAAGAATTATATAAAAAGAAAATTGGATAACCTCAAGGTTGAAGATGTGATGGTGGAGCAACTAAAAACCGTGGGCAATACTAGCTCTTTTAAAGTAGGCCTACCTATAGAATTTTATGATGAAGTCAATACTAGTGATTTCTGGCCTAAAGGAATCATTTTTAGACGTTTTAACTTCAAGAGAAGAGTTTTTAACTCAGGAGTTTCTTTATCGGAAAACTAAGAGATAGACGACAATCAAGTAGGAGTAACTCGGAAATTTCTGTTTATTATCAAAATGTGAGAGGTCTCCGCACCAAATTAAATGATTTTTCATCATCTGTTATTGCCAACGATTATGATGTGCTACTATCACCTGAGACCTCTCTGTATGATGGTATAGAAGATGGAGAATTGGGAGTTCCAGAGTACAATATATACAGAGGGGATAGAAATGAAAATACCAGTACAGCTAAACGTTTGGGTGGTGCTCTAATTGCTGTAAAAAAGGAATTTGTTTCTTCAGTAATCACTTCAAAATCAGCCAACATTGAAAGTGTTTATGTAAAATTGCAAACATCAAATCAAAAAATCCTTTTTGTCTGTGTATATATACCACCATCATCTCCATTAAGCGTTTATGAGGACTTTATTATGGTAAATGAAGATATTATTCAAAATAATGACTTTTCAATGTCCTATATAGTGGGTGATTTTAATCTACCAAACATAGTTTGGGAGAATGAAGATCTAGGATCAAGACCAGTTGGTAATATTACAGAATCTAATGAGTGTATGTCAAATTTTATTGCTTATTTTAACTTATTTCAAAATAATACAATATCGAATGTTTTAGGAGGTTATTTGGATTTAATATTGTCAAATAATATTGTAAATGTCAAATGTGTTGATTTTCCTTTGTTAAACTGTGATAAGTACCATCCAGCACTTTCTTTCTGTATTAATTGTGATAAAACTGAGTTCCTTGAATATGATTATTATTATTATGATTTTACTAGGGCTAATTATATTTTAATAAACCAATTTTTAGGTAATGTAAACTGGGAGAACTTACTCGACAATATTTCAGATGTTAATAAAGCAATATCCTGTTTTTATGATATTTTGTACTGTTGCATAAATTTATATGTACCAGGGCAAAAATGTAAAAACCCAAAATTTCCAAAATCATATTCAACTGAACTGAAAAATGCTATTCTGAGAAAAAAAGTAGCTCATAAAAAATTCAAACATACTAATACTTTTTCTGACTATAAACTATTCTCAGACATTCGTAGTGAATGTAAAGTATTAGCGGAGCAATGTAAAAGTCAAACCATAAAAACTTTGGAACAAAATATGACTAATTCCAAAGAATTCTGCAGTTATCTACACAGTAAAAATAAACATTATGACTTACCAAACAACATGACGTATGAAAACAATGAGTCAAACAATCCATCAGAAATTTCTAATTTTTTTAAACAGCATTTCTCTAAGTCATATGTAGATAACAATAACTGTGATATTCCAAGCTTTGATTGTAATAAAACAGTTAGTTTAAGCAGCTGTGATATTAGTCTAATAGATGTTTTTAATAAGTTAGAAAAATTAAATCTAAAACTTAGTAGTGGCCCTGACGAAATTTCACCTTATTTTGTACATAAATGTCGTTTTGTTCTGTCTCCTGTATTACTAAAAATTTTTCGTTTTTCATTAAGTACTGGCACTTTCCCAGAAGAGTGGAAAAAAAGTTATATTTCTCCTATTTTTAAGAATGGTAGTAAAACATGTATAGAAAATTACAGACCCATTTCCAAAATTTCTATTTTTGCAAAGATTTTTGAGTCACTTATTGCTTCAAAAATATTTTTTCCAATAAAAAGTTTAATTATTCCTGAACAACACGGCTTTATGCCGGGTAGGTCTATGACCACCAATCTAGTGATCCTAGAAGAATTCATTTTGGATGACTTTGGGAAGGGGGCTCAGGTCGATGTGACCTATACCGACTTCTCAAAGGCATTTTATCGTGTTAACATCAAGATTCTTATAAAAAAACTAGAGGTACTAGGAATTCATGGATCCCTGCTTGAGTGGTTGGAGAGCTACCTGACAGACAGGCTTCAGGTTGTCAAAGTCAAAAACTGTCTTTCTGAAGAGATTTTGGTTAGGTCTGGCGTTCCACAAGGTGGTCATTTATCGACTATTCTTTTTATTTGTTTCATAAATGACATTTTAGAAATCTTTGAAAATTGTGTTATTTTGTTGTATGCTGATGATTTGAAAATTTTTAGAATTATTAAGGATGTTAGAGACTGTGTAAAAATGCAAAAAGATGTAAATAATTTCTCAAAATGGTGTACAAAGAATGACCTTTCACTTAATATCGATAAATGTAAAATAATGCGCATTTTTAGAAACTCACAACCTATCTGTTTTAATTACTCTATAAATAATATATTTCTGGAACCAACAAACACTTTCAAAGATTTAGGTGTGTTTTTTGATCCCACTTTATGTTTCAAAAATCACTATAATTTTATTTGTAATAAAGCTTTTAAATTACTTGGATTTTTGAAAAGAACCTTGTCAGAATTCAATAATCTAGATTGTTTTAAAAGTGTGTATTGTTCTATGGTTAGATCAGTTCTGGAATATTCCAGCACTATTTGGTCTCCTTTATATAAATGTCATATTGAAAACATTGAGAAAGTTCAGAAAAATTTTTTGCGCTTTGTAGGCTATAAATTAGGAATTTCTTCAGAAGATATAGTGTATTGTGACATTTTAAAATTATTTAATATACCAACATTAGAAAATCGTCGTTTAATGCTAGATTTGGTTTTTCTTTTCAAGATTGTAAACGGAATGATAGATTCGCCTCAAATTTTGCAGAGAATAGGTCTTAGGGTTCCTCAAAGGTGCACAAGATCCAAGGACGTTTTTTACTTAGAATTCCAACAAACAAACTATTGTCTAAATAGACCTATAAGACGAATGTGTCAATCTGGAAATGGTTTAGATGTAGACTTTTTTTCTAGCTCTCTGAATAGTTTTCGAAAAAAGCTGAAAAAATCTTTTTAAAATACAATGTAGGCTGTCACTGTAAACTGTCATTTAGGTATTTATTCTATTTATTGGTCTTGTGTAAATTGTATGTAATTATTATTGAATACAAAAACTGTTAATATGATATTATTTATTTAATGATTATAATTATTGTAATTGGTATAATCGTAAATAAACTATTTATTTATTTATTTAAAACTTTATGGCTCTTGAACTATATTTTATGATATTTCTTATAGTCATAAGAATTCAGATATAAACAATACCTACTAGGTATTAATAGCTTTTATAAT